AGTGAAGAGAGGCACATGGACAAAATACTGTTCATACAGTACTGGGAAAAGGAAAGGCAGACAGACAGAAGTAACTGAGGACAACAAAAGTAAGACCTACCATCCATCCGCGAACAACTGTGACTGTAACCGCTATTAATGTTGTAACAGCCCCACCCCCCCCCCCCCCAAACTCCTAAACAACATAATTTGCTCAACGGATGCTAGTGCTAAGGTACTCAATGAAAAGACACATAGTTTAAGTCATTGACCCACCTGTTGTGGTTGGTGGAAGAATGTACAAGATACACGTGACCACTGTGAGCACGTGAGACAACCGGAAGTTTATGTGCAGCCCTGCAGAATCCATTACGATTGTTGCTGCTTTTGGTGACGTCGGAGACAAGTCTTGGAAAGTTCTGCTTTTCTTGCTCTCGTTTCGCCTGCTTGCCTTTTCTTTCTTTCTTTTTTAAAATGTAATCTTGTTCTCCGTGTTCCTAACTCGTAAAGTCTTTGCTTCTGGGGAAGACACAAAGATCAATGGTTTGAGTTCAAAGTACTAGACTCACAAGTTAGTAAAAACTACAGCTAATGTCACCCTAAATGTCTTTTCTAAATCAGTGTCAATTTTCTCTCACTGTAGCTGAAGAACACCCTCCCTCATTTTGATGGTTGCATCTGGCAGTCAGTTGGTAGAATTCACGCTCTCATCTAAAGCTTTTTAATGTCTTGGGAAAATAATTACGGAATTCTGGTATTTTGTACATTTAAAAAACTATCATATATATCACAAAACTAATAATGTGTTGCTTTGAGAAACAAAAGCAAGTACAGGGTGATAAAAAACTGTACAACTTTCTTTGTAAATGTTTTGCTCCACACTAAAGTTTTTCGTTTCAAATTCGTACACAGCAACTGCAAGTCAAAAGGAATTTGTCTGATATTCATTTTTGATTAATCCACCAAATATTTTTGCTCTCCATAGAGCGATAAAACATAACCCATTTTCAGCTATGTCCCCATATTTGTAGCTTGACGCATTATTTTGCATTAGGCCTACCACTAAAAATCACAACGATTGCGCCATATTGCAAACTACAGCAGTCTAACAGGCCAATAGAAGTTTGCAGATAGTTTTTCTCAAGTTTTCTTTTCATGCTGAGGTCATGGTTATGACCAGTAAAGAGCAGAGAGCTTTATGTATTGAACATTTCCTCATCTCCAACTCATTTCGTACGTTTTGCATACGGCAAGGAAATAATGTAAAAGTGCCCCTGAGGACTGTTTTGATGTCAAGGGTGGAAATGGTCCATCAGTTAGGACCCGTAAAGAATCAGAATAAAAAATTCCTAGAAAAAAACGACCACGACTTCAGGTCAAACACACACCGTTTGCACCTCTTTAAACGTAACCAGGGTGCAGAATTAGTAGATGAGACCCATCTGTCCGTAGACGATGCCTGCAGCAATGACTTTCCTACATTTCAACGGTCCGCATTCTCAAGGCATATCTTCATCTATGGCTGTACCATTTTCCCGTTCGCGAAGCTATCAGAGGGTAGCAATGTGGTCTTGATTCCTCGATCGTTTGAAAGCGTATTGGTTCCTTGGCAATGTCCAAATTCACCTTTCAGGTAATACCAACTCTACAAATGCTGTCTACTTGGGCAACCTCCTCCACACTCCCTATTTTCTCTAAAAACTGCTCCATACTGTAAGGTATACAATGTGTGTGGGTTTCAGTACTCATGGTTGAGTGGATCCGTGTGTTTAGCCGCCCCTGAACATTACGAACCGCGTGTTAAAACGTGTCTAGTCCACATAAGATATAATAGGGAATTGGTTCTCTGAATTCTAACATTTTAGACATTTTTAAAAAGTCTCTAAGAGAAAAGAAATATTGTTTAAATGTTACAAGGATGGAAAGATTAGATTTTAAAAAGAAAAGGAACGGGAAAACAAAAGCCACAATCATTTCATGACCTTCTTTACAAGGTCTTTTGAATTTGCTGCATTTTGCGTTTATAGGTGGTTTTTATATGAGCCATTTCCGTAGTCGAAAATGATTTTTTTTCTGTATGAATTTTATGTCCAACAAATTCCTTTTGGATAAATTATAACAATATAATAATATAACAATATGATAATATAACAATATAACAATATAACAATATAACAATATAACAATATAACAATATAACAATATAACAATATAACAATATAACAATTTAACAATATAACAATAACAATATAACAATATAACAATATAACAATATAACAATATAACAATATAACAATAAATGTTCCAATGACAACATTTTAGTACACATTTTGTGCGAGATTTTCAGAAAAAAAATTGTAAAGTTGTTGTGTTTTTCAAGATCACCAAAATGACCAGGAAGATACGGGAACACTCTTTAAAATACGATAAGAGTAAGGTTATTTCAGAAGCAGGACCTCCCTATTAGGTGTTTAACTATCTCAAGCAATAGGCGTGAGTTTAATTCCAAACGGGAAGTTATGCTATCCAGTTTCTTATTTTGTCTGCTAATAATATGTCGTATCCCCCAATCTCAGCACAGGTTTGCCGTGACTTGCAAGGTCCAAGTAGCCCGACGCTTACACAAATCTAAATTGCGTCGATAGGGCCGTAAAACATCTCCAAATTGAAACGAAAAATCAAACAAACAAACAATTTAAGAGCTGATGGTGCTAAAAAATACATTAGAATTAATGATGGCTGCAATCTGTACAAAAGAATGTCTAGGCCTACCCTCCAAAGAGTTTTCCTGACGATAAATTTTTCGGGGGGGGTTTTTGTTGTTTTATTTTGGTAAGTGTTTTTCGACGCTCGCAACTGCATAAGGCTATATAAGAGAGCGGGACTCATTAAACCATTTCAGGTTGGTAGAAATTTTGAATTTTGCCCTGGTGAAGGCCGAAGCCTACTCTTATCAATTTAGAACAACCAAGGGATCTTTGACGCGAACAACTTGCACACGGGACCTCCGAGATTTTTAGCCTTTATCTGAGAAGGCTGGGAGTTAGTTCTTACCTACCATAAGATCAGGGGTGTGACTGAAAGTCAGCAGTATGAAGGAGCCAACGAGTGGCAGTAGAAAGATTGCAGAAATAGTCAGGACCACAGAAGAGTGGGCAAAGGGGAGAGGGGTGGAGGGGGGTGGAAGGGGGCATAAATTGAAGACGAAAGCAGACGACAGAGCATGGTTAGAGAGCAGGAAAGAACGTGAAACGGGAACACTTTAGAGAAGAAAATGTTCCGTCGTTGCCCGGGACCCATTAAATGAGATACCAACACTGTAACCTCTAGACAACGAGATCCCGCGCTTTTCGTTTTACCCACTCAGACAATTTGCTGAGTGTTTTTGTTCTACAGAGAAACCGTTTGTTTTGTTTTGTTGTCATGCCTGCACAAAAACCCACCAAAAACAAACAAACCCAAAAAGCATGAAAAAAATCCCCGTTCTTTAACATTCGAATAGATGAACTCAATACCGACCTCACAGGCTGCTCAGTTTTGTACAAAAATGAAGAGTTTAAAATGCTTACTCTCGCTTATCTATTTTTCTAAATTAAAAGAGCCAGACAATAACAAACTAGAATAACCAGACATATCACAAATAGATCGCAGTTGAGATGGTGATTTCTAAGTCGACCATGATGAACCTGCATTTTCAAAATCAAATAAGGATCAACAGGAAATGGGGGAAAGAAGTACCTTCAATCATCGCACGGCTAAAATTGAATTTCCTTTCGATAAACAAGAGCATAAATGTGTTAAACATGAAATGCTCTTATTCAATAACTTGATTGTTTTACAAAAAACCATTAACTTTAAAAAAAAAAAAATATCGACTTTCGGTCTCAACAAAGCATCGCCTTTTATTAGCTCGTGCTTGACAGTACTCTCCAACTTGTTACATTAATTAAACAAACAAGTTCCCTTTCAACACCCCCTCCCCCACCCTCACACACACAAATACACACACACACACACACACACACACACACAAACACACACACACACACACACACACACACACACACACACACACACACACACACACACACACACATAGACTCACAAACAAAAATATATTCCCTTTTTTCATGAAATGGTATATTTAATGCTTTTCACTTCAACGTCGTCTGTGCATTCTATTGTATGAATGTTTGTTCTGTATTTGTCATAGCAGGTATTGTTTGTTCCGTATTTGTCATAGCAGGTATTCTTTGTTATTATTACAACAACATAACGATCCCCCTGTTCTTTTTTTTCCGTCGCTCGCAACTGCATAAGGCCATATCAGCCCTATGACCTTTTCTTCATCTCCAATATCTGCGTAAAATTTCGGTTGATTGTCTCATTTGTTAGGCATTACTATCTCGTTCACCATTACTATAATATCCAGCTGTTACTTTATACCACTTTGAACAAATACATCTTTGTACCAGTATCATTTCTGTCTATTGATACTTTCCCCCCAGCGGATTTTTTTCTATTGCTCTACCTTTTCATTCACGTCTTTGTAAGGGCTGTCTCACTCTCCCCTCGCCCCCGGCAGTGAGCCCCGGACCGGGAAGCGCCTCACCAAACATTTATTATCCCGTCAAACACTTGACACGGATTGCCAATTTCGTCGCGTCGATATCTCTTAGCCCCGTGCATCTTTGATGTATGTGAAAGTGACACAAACTATCAGGGGTGTGTGTTGTAGGAGCAGCCTCAGAATAACAAAAACAATACTTTGGTGAAACACACTTTTAAAGCCGGTATTATTGGGAACATGAACCTGTGCCGCTGCACACAGAAGACGACAGTGTGATTCCCGTGTGGGGAGAGTTTTTTTATTCAGTATCTTCGACTGTCTGCTGGGATGTTGTATGTGTATACCTCTCAGCCCAGTTTAGCCCTGGCAGGCAGGGTCAAAGGGAAAAAAATCTACTACAGGCCTCATACCACATGAGTGTCACTGTAACGCCATGCCCGAAGGACGCTTGCAAAACATGTAAAATTGTTTTAAGAACTGGGGCTCAAGTAGACTTTACGTGGTCTCTCGCACAGTGGAGAGACACCAAAGTGTATAGTAGGTCAGATTCCAAATGAAATAAAGGTTTCAAGTTTGCCTCTATCCATCCCTGCTGGCAGACGGAGATACACGTATTCTATTTAAAAAATAAACAGCAAGAAATATGAATACAAAAAACAAAAACAAATACCCCCCCTCCAACAGTTCACTTTGAGTTTCTTTTAGCCTTCAATGAAAAAAAATCCATTTATCTTGAATCGAAGTCGGGATTTTTGCTGTAGGGGTCGTCCGTGTCAGTAGTAAAATGAACGAGAAAATAACCACCAAAGTTTGATGACTTTCACAGCTTGAGTGTCCTTGAAAACTACAAATTTACATGTTTTGTGCTTTTCATCAATGTTTTTTAAAAGAAAACCCCAGAGAAGAGCGTGACCATAAACGATGTTGAGAAGAAAAATCGATACAAATTTGTTAGTAGAGAGATATCCCTGGTCCTCCAAATCATGCTCAGAGAAATAATTTTAATGCAGTCTGTGCCTTTCAAATACGGGACTTTATTTCAGCGCCTGTTCCTCCCTCTCTGTCAATTATACTCTCAAGATAGCAGAAGGATTCGACGTCTTCTAGTGCATTTCCCTCAACGTACTGGGACCTGTTTCTGTCGTAGTGCATCTATCCTTAAGACTTTTGACTTTCCGGGGTGGATCCTCAATCCAACAGACTCTGATAGGCTGTTTAAAATTGTGGTCTTTGCTTGCATCTGTTCCTGAGTGTGCGGCAGAAGCGCCAAGTCATCTGCAAAATCCAGATTGTCCAACTGTGTCCATTGGGTCCACTGTATACCGTTTCTGTGTCCTCTGGTGGTTTCCTTCATCAGCCAGTCGATTGCCAAGATAAAGAGGAAAGGTGATAGTAAACATCCCAGCCTCACACCGGTCTTGATTTCAAAGCTGTCAGTGAGCTGGCCATCATGCATAACCCTGCAATTTGTCTTTTCATACATGCTCCTGATGAGTGTAACCAGCTTCTGTGGGATCCCGTAATGTCTCAGCATCTTCCACAGTGTTGCTCTGTCTATACTGTCAAATGCCTTCTCATAGTCAAGAAAGTGGACCATCAACTGGGAGTTCCACTACAGGGACTGTTCCACTATGATCCTCAGCGTGGCAATGTGGTCGTGGTTGACCAATTTTTCCGAAAACCAGCCTGTTCATCCCGAAGTCTTGGATCCGTTTTGGACTTGATTCTCTCCAGAATTTTTCTGTTGAAGACTTTACTTGGTACGGAGAGAAGAGTGATTCCTCGGTATTTGCTGCAGTTGCAGAGATCCCCTTTTTTAGCACGAAGTCCTTCTTTCCAATCCATTGGGAACTTGCTCTCATTCCAGATCCTGGTAAACAACGGGAGATGAAGGTCACATTACCGTCATATTGGCATTTGCTTTTAGGGCCTCTGGTGGAATCTGATCAGGACCGGCCGCTTTACCGTTGTTCAGGCTCTTAATTGCATCCATAATTTCTTGTTTCGATGGAGCATCACAGCAGATTGGTAACTCATTTCTTGCTGGGAGGATGTTTGGCGGGTTACTTGGTGGTGGTTTGTTCAGGAGACTATTGAAATGCTCTGTTCTGGTTCCGTGCTTTTTGAGACGAAGCTTGAGTTTTGCTTACAGTAGATGATGATCCGATCCAATGTCTGCCATTCATTGTACTTTGACATCTTCCAGAGAACTACTGAACCTATGTGAGATACAAAAATGATTGATCTGGTTCAACGTCACTCCATCCTGTGATACCCATGCAACTTTGAGTATCTTTTTGAGGGAAAAAACAGAGCCTCCAATGACAAAACTGTTGAAAGCACAGATATTTGCAAATCGTTCACCGTTCCCATTCATAATTTGTCCAAAGCCATGTTGTCTCCTGATTCCCTCATAACCTACGTTGTCTTGATCAATCTTGGCATTAGCATCTCCCATTACGATGTTGGCATCATTCCTTGAAAGATTGTCGATGACACCCAGGAGCAGGCTGTAAAAAACATCCTTGTCTTCATTTGAGGCTTCATTTGTTGGGACGTAGATCTGAATTATGTTCATGTTGATGCTCATATTCCTTGTAGTGAATGAAGACATGATGATCCTCTCCCCCTGAGGTTCCCACCCTGTAAGGGACTTCTGTGCATACTTACTCAAAATAATTCAAATTCTCTCCGCTTGGGGCTTGTCTTCCCTCCCAGAATACAATATTTGTTCCCCCGAGCTGAGCTGCTTCTGTCCAGATTGTATCCAGTTGGTTTCTCTGACTCCTAGTATGTGCAGCCTGTATCTCTTCATCTCTTGTGCCACTTGAGAACTCTTTCCAGCTTCATACATGGTGGGAACATTCCACAACGCAATCCGGAGAGACTTGTTTCGGGTCAGAAGTGTCCTTTCGGTTTTGTCTGCTGTCCTTCATTGTTCCTGCTGATACAGAAGCTCCTCCGCCTCTCAGGATGGTAAAATAATAAGACTTTCCATTTTTCACTGGGTCGAGTAGTTGGTCCCCGCAAATTATTTCGGGCTACCAGACTGATGGACCTTGAATCTCCTCTTACGATACGCAGTATCACTGGAGGTGTATTCTTTGCTCCCCCATTGTAAACTCCATCACCCCCCACCCCCACCCACCTACACGGGCGTTTTGTAAACGGAGTCTCGTAAAATTGTGGATATGCATTCTGTCATGTCATGCGAGTGGTCTGTCAAGGTTGTTTTTTAAAGTGGTGTGGTTTTATTTTAAAGAGATTGCAGAATTTACCTAATTAGCTTTGATTGCTCTGGCTGTATGGGCCATTTCCCATCAGAATAAAGGAAATACATCTCGAATTATTGTCGCGGTTAGGGGATTGTCTGCTGTTAGTAAGACAAAGCTTGAATATCACAGGGATAAGGGAAAGTAATTCACTTTCCCGTGCTGTCTTAGTAAGCTGAAGAAGAAGGAAATAAAAACTGTTTTCAGCGTGTCAGAGAGTGCGTACAGGCGCCGAGAGATAACTTAATGAGAGTTACCATAGGTTGCAAATGAAAGGTTTACGTATAGTAACGATTTTTGGCCTTCTCTGTTTTAATCTATTATTTGGCTTGATCCAATGAGCCCATCAATGTTTGAAATAGACGTACATATAAAGAAGGGGACACGTGAAGGAAAGCTAGTAGTTCTCGATAATTGGTCGCTTCTAAGCACAAAGGGACTATCCCGAAAAGTGCCGTTTTGAGAAAATCGAAGGTAAAGTTTTTGCCCCTTATTTAGTTTCTTTATAATACAAGGAGAGTTTTCTCTATAACTAAACAAATATACACACCAATGAAACCAAACTTCTCCTATTCGTAGGGCAATACCCAATTTTGGTGTAAGACAAGATTTCTGGAAACCCGACCATCTGGGTTAGGCCGCTTGTCCTTAATAGCGACCAATTTGTTCTCTACCTTCCTATCTATATACGACTTTTCCGAAATGGCGACGGAGGTTTGATGAAATCTGTTGTGGCACAGAAGAAGAAGAAGGAGAAGAAGAAGAAGAAGAAGAAGAAGAAGAAGAAGAAGAAGAAGAAGAAGAAGAAGAAGAAG